TCATTTTAAAAGTAATGGCAAGAAAAATTTTGAAGCCTGAAAATTTCACAAAACATAATAAAAAGTTGATTAACGTAAGAGCTCACCAAAGCATCAACAATTTCCTCAACCGTTTCACGCCGAAAACAATCATCGATTGCTTCAATCCTGACAAACAGAAACAAAAACCTTAGTTTGTGTTAAAGAAAATCAAATTAATGCTTATTTATCATTTTTAAAATACAGCAAAAAACATTTGAAAATTACAATTTCATTGCACTCATTCAATAATATGTTTCTCTCACCCATGCATAAAAAAGAACAATTCAACACAGATCTATAGCTGACAACTTATGCAGCAAAGTTCCATCTAAAATTTTAGGAATTAACTAAAATACTCATCTAACTGATTAAGGCTACTTCCAAAATCCACTGATGCAATTGCAGCATCAAGCAATAATATGGAAATTCATGAATACTTTTCAACATAATCGAGGCTAAAACAGGTTCTAAATATGAAATTCTAGATATTTAGGGGAACTATTGAGGAAAATTTCCAAACTTGTCATTCAATGCACAAGTTTTTGATATTTAACAATTAGGCTTTTAAAGATCTCATTATGTCATGGATCATATTACAAAAAAAAAAAACTAGGGGAAAAGCAGAAGTTATTACCTATGAACTATGCTCTTCTTATCAGGATAGACTATGTCACCATACTGTGCTAGAGAAGAATCAATCACTGAAGGGTCGTCCGTCACCAACTTCGCAAGTCGTTCGTCAACCCAACTAAGCTTCTGTTGACGGTCCACCAAGTTAAGAGCAAAGAAAGGAGAGTATGAACAGTGGAAATTAGGGAAACTTACATACATACCACATATTTCATATGTATTTACTTATCTAACCTCCAAGTTTGATATTTACAATTATAATACCTTGGTGTCATAAACCTATGAATACATGGAAAGGTGTATTTCACTTCCAAATAGGTAATGATGGTGATATGTTTGATGTGATGCAAAATAATTGAGTGGCATGCTCATAAATATGAATGTTTGAGATACGTAAATACATAAGAATTATGTGGAATGTATGCAAATGCCCCCAAAAATTAATGACCATAGAGACTGACAGCACTCATGGCAAAATGGGTAGCAAGGCCAACAGCAAGCATGTCAACTCCATTAAGCTTTTCACCCGTTAAAGCCAAATATTCTCCTGCAAAGAATATAATAAAATGCTCAGTTTGCAGAAAAGCAGAAAAAAGCGACACATCTGTAAGGTGATATTTAGGTAAAAAATTAAAGGTTAGTTGTTAGATATAAAAATACATAGTAAATGAATATGTAAATCTTCCTACGACTACTACTACCACTAATAATAACAATAATGAGACAAAAACAATCGACCATACTACAGAAAGTTAAATGTTGTTGTGAACTAAAGTATGTTTTAGCCCTCAATCCTGAAAGCTTACCCAGATGTCCTGGCAGATGCGAGAGGTAAAAAGAAGCACCAGCATCAGGATGAAAACCAATATGAACTTCTGGGGTAGCAAATATCTGAAATTGTCATAAATATAAACTATATAATGATAAATTGGAATTCTTCTTGGTGCTTGAGATTATTATTTAATTATACTAAAGAAATGAAAAGTGAAAATTTTAAAAAAAGAGGTAATTGAAAAAAAAGGTATTTATGTTCAAGAATGCATCCTAAAGTTGGATTTTAATCAGAGCAATTAAATACACAAAGTAAAGAAAATAACAAAGTACACGCAGTGAAAGAAAACTCAGTTTCCCATTCAAGCAATCAAAAAAACTATTGAGAATAATGGTAAGCACCAAGAGAATATTCAACAAATATTCAGCTGTATTATCATTTATGCACTACACATACAAACAAAAAATAATATTGATGTTCTTAGTATTTCTCAATGACTCTACATTACTTATGCATTGAAATGATGATACGCCCACACCCTAGACATCGCTAGGAACACCACAAGAAGAAGTAAAACGGCAGCCAAACAAAAGCATGCAAAAAAACAAACAAACCCTAGGTTCCTCCTTTTAATAAAATCCTCCTAAAGACTTGAAAACTCTCCTTTCTCACTTACCCTCAAAACCAACTTTAATTTCTCCTCCTTGAATATGAAATTGAATCTCTCATGGTCCCTACTTGCTCCCTGCCCTTTTCTACTGCAGCAAAGAACTGCTCCATTGCTCCTTCCCGCAAGCAAGGACGGTTAGGGGGGCCGATGCTTTGGCCTTCGACTGGTCCAAGAGGGATCGATCCAAGGGAGGGTGTAACAAGGGCGCGCATAACAAATGAACACAACAAATAATCATGAAAAAAAGATTACTATAAAAGAATAGTCATGCATTTACATAAATACCACTGATTTCTATACTAATTACATGGCTAAAAACTAAATCCCTACTTTACTCCTATACTATCTAACTCTTCTAAACCATCCCTTTAACCCATATGGTTCATATTACTTGATATTTAGCAGTAAGGTAGTATAGTAGTAAAGAAGAGGTCTTGGGCATTAGATGTGCAAATATTGTAGAATTTAGTTGCGTGTATATAAATCACTGGGAAAAAAAATCATAGTAAAAATAACTATAAATCTTAGTTCACAAATAAGTTATCCCAAACACCTTTTAGGGTCTATTTGGTTGTAGTATTCTTTAGTTTAAGCTCGTTAAGAGATGGAGTTATTCCATCTGGTTTATTAAAAAGCTATAGGGCTGTTTGGGGTCACTTTAATTTTGATTATTTCATTTTTATTTTTATTTTATTTCATATATGTTTTTACTTGAAATAAAATATGTTTGATATACTATAAAATGTTTAATTATTTTTAAAAATTCTCCAAAAAAAAAAAAGATGTTTTAAATATTTTTAAAATTAGATAAAGTGATTTAAAAATAAAAATAAAAACATGCAAAAAATGTATTAACAATCATAAAATAAAAGAAAAAAATTTACATAAAAAATAAAAAAATAAAAGTGATCTCAAACAAGTCCCAACCTAGCATAAATTTAAATTATTCACGAGTACTTTTAAGTTCAAGCTTTATGCACTTAAATAAACTAGGAAGCGCCACTGTCTACAGGTTACTCCATTTGATATCGTGATTAACTTGCAAGTAAAAGTCATATGAAGATCCATGTTTTCTATGATAAAAAAAATGTTCACAATTAATAAATGTTTCTAGAGCTTGAACAATCATAGTCTTTAAGTTTGCATATGTTCCTTACAAAAGAAAAAGATCCTGCTTACCAAAATTAAGATAATAAACATGCAACCTTGATTAAAATAACTAAAAAGTTTAGACATGATATAGCATACTGTTTTATCTGTCGCAATACGAAATGTTCCAGGAATTGACACACCTCCACCACCTCCCATAGTTATACCATCCAAAATAGCCACCTGCATGAAGTAAAATGAACATGGACCAACAATTTAGAGTAAAAAGTATATTATGAGGATTAAAACGGATCATGAAATTATGCAAACATCTAGATGTACAAAATGTTGAAATAAGATTTAGCATCATACTTAAAAACAAACTCGCAAAATTATCAAACTAAAAAAAGGGAAGATTTACATACATAACACTTAATTCTAATGTATTTATATATCTTAACACCTAAACTTCCAATTTTTTACATATATGCTACCTTACATATGCATGAAAAGGTGTATTTCATTTTTTAAATTTTAAAATAGTATTATTTTTTATGTGATATGAAAGATATGGGCGGTGAAAAAGTAAAATGTAGAGTTTAGGCATTTGATATGAGCATACATAAGACTTAGGTGGAATGTATGTGAATGCCCCTAAAAATAGTTTTAAAAAGTGTGCAAGTCTGTAATTTATTGCTTCATTATTACCTATGAAAAATGATGCTTAATAAAAAAAATTTTATGTTTGTGGTGGATGCATGCATGCATGCCTTGGAGACGCTTTGACACTAGCTCATTTTTTCTCTCAACTTGCCTTGCATAGGTTTTTGGCTTGGGATGCTCACACTTGTGACCCCGCTTTCTTAAGTGTGGTGGAGGCCGACTCCTCTCACACTACTTTTGTGTAGCTTTTATACCTCTCCTTAGTCCTTTTTGATTTTATATAAATGCAAAATGCACAACCTTCACGGAGACCTTTGATGCATGTTTGGCATGTTGAAAATCATATTTGATGTATTATTTCCTCCAAAGTTAGAGTCAAACATGTCATGCAAAAGTGGAGCCAATACCCAAACCTAAAGGCTATCAAAATCTTTAAGAGTTTGTTATGAAAGAGTTCAGAATATGAAATTTTACTCCCACATTTTGGAGGAAACAATATCTAAAGAGCTTGTATAGAAAAACTATCTGATTTAATTCAAAAAAATTAAATGATATGTCAATAGATCCACCAATGAAATTTCACTGGTGTGTTCTCATACTTATATACCGGGGCACAGGTATTTCAGTAAGTTTAATGGTTAAACATTAATTGGAAACTAAATTGTTTATCTTAAATTAAACTATTGCACATAACTAACAGAGTACCATTAGCCATACCTTCAATACTAGACTTATGATTGTTGGAGCAAAACCTAAAAAATGTTCCAACCAAAAGGTGCGCATATTTAAATAATACAATCTAAAAATAGGCTATCCTCCATTTGCTTCTAGAGAGAATTTCGATGCTTGTACAATATGTAGATGAATTGCCAAGTACTATATTTGATATGAAGAGCAATATCTTTTTGAAAAAAGATGTTCCGTTCACACCTCAAAGTATTTTTGCTATTACCTTGATACTCTCAAGTCTAAACACATGTATTATCCCCAACATAAAAATAATATAAATTGTATTAAAAATTAAAAAAAATTAATTTTCTTCTCAAAAAATTAATTATGCTCTTATAAAGTTTGCTTAATATACATATGTGTGTGCTCTTGTACCTGTGCGGATTAAATTATATATATAATCTAACTTAGATTAAACCTAACATTACAAATTAGATCTAAAATTTTCATATATAAAAAAATATTTTACATTTTAAACATACCTTTAAGGGAAGAAATCACGAACTAGCTTAGATAACTCCGTCTTTTGATTATCGTGTTCATGAGCATGCTTGATCACACTACTTTTCACATCAACTCGAGCCCCACCATGAGCTCGCACTTTCTCTCCTACCCGACTCTCCTTTGACTTCACCTCACTCAAGCGAACTGATTCGACAGTAAATTTACACTAAATCCATTACCGATTAACTCTCAAGAACGCTACTCAGCTCTATCACCGCTTGCTTTTCTCACACTCCTCACAATCTCCGCATGAACGATCGCACTTGTGAGCACAAATCAAGCTTAGCTTTACTATGGAGAGTAGGGCCTATGACAAGGGCACTTGCTCAATCTCCCCTCTGTAGTAGAGAAAGCCACCTTTTCATCTCTCGTGTTTCTCAGTCTGTGCTTTGCACAATATGTGCCGCCTCCCCTCCTTATTTATTGTAGCGAGATTCAATCAACCTTCCCCAGCTCATTTTGTTTCCTTCCCCATACCCCACTCTCTATCTCCTTCACCAATACATTCTCTCCGTCCCTATAATTAATTTCCGCTATTTTTTTAAATATTATAGGCTTTACAATTCATGTCCTAATAGAATAAAATTTGACCTCCTTGATGAGGTGGCATGAAACTAGAACTATCAATTTGGGTTCATGGTTTAGGTTCATATTCAACTTGAAAATGATTTGACACAAAGGTAACTAATCAAAACATGATTTTTTTATCAAGCAGGAAAAAAAAATCAAAAACAAAACTCAATTCAACTAAACTCAAATCTATTCAGACACAAAAAAAAGTTACAAAATGAAAGGCTAGTGCCAACCAAATCTATAATGGAAATGATCACTAAATGTGATCATGATTACTTGGTTTGGACACAACTTAAACAAATAAATAAATATTATGATTTAATAAAAGGTTTTCACGAAAAAAACAAAAACAATAATCAAATAGTTAAGTTGTTACTTTTTGGTTAGACTGAGCCTAGAGTTGACTCGGGACATTTTTTTACCGGTCATTCAAGTAGACTTAAACTTGATTTGAATCTTACATGGGTTGACCCAGACTTACAGTTTTCAAATTGGGTCTTTGAAGCTCCTACATGAAACCATAAATAGATAGATTTATTTTGAACTAATTTAACATGAATTAAAGTTCTACATTGATAATACAAGTCACTACTTAGTTTAATGTTGTCCAAAGTCCATTAGAAATGGTTTTTCATGGCTATACCTAGATTTATTTGCTTGCTCAGTCCAATTCTAGTTGGGCTAAATTATGGTTTAGAGAGCCTTATGAATTACTCCCTTCCTCGTTGTAAAATCTCCTTGTACCCAATCTCCAAAAAAAAAATGTATGTTCACTTCCTCCCTCCTTATTATAGTCCCTTTTGTGTCCTCCCTCTTTATAAGAACTCCAATTTGCACACTGCAACTACCAAATGCAAATTCTCTACTTCCCTTTATCTGTTGTTCCATCTTTGTGATTGGATTTGAGTGTTACTTTTTGGTACAAATAGGAATTCCAAGAATTGTGAATAGTTTAAGGATGTAAAAGTTAAAGACCTAAAGTTGTCTTTTTTTCCTCTATCAAACACATGTGTTGAATATAATGACATTAGTCTAAGCATACAACAACAACAATTCTTTATTCCACTAAGTGGGGTCAAGTACATGAATCCTTTTTCTCTATTGTGCCCTCTTGAGTGTTGTATTTTCATTTAATTCTAACAAATTAAAATCATTTTTTATACAACATGCCCAAGTCATTTTAAGTCTACCACTACCTTTCTTAACATAAGTCATTAGTCTAAGCATCATGTGAAATAAATTATTAGCTCATAAACTCCATCAAAAAATACAATCAATTAAAAATTTTCTAATCCTACATCCCAAAGCATGTTTCATGATACCATATAATACTAATCGCTTCAATGTCATAACATTGTGTCAACAATTATGTAAAGAATTAAACTACTTGTTGATACAAATACAAGTTAATAACTATAATAATTTTACATTTAGAAATATAAACCTTCAATGCATGAATTGCTAATATATAAACTCACATGTGGTTTCAGATAGGTGCCTAATATGTAAATAAATGTATACAAATGCTTGAAAAAATCCTTGCAGTCTTCCACTTTTCCTGCATAAGTTAAGTTTCACAAGTAATAAGTAATAACAACAAGTACGGTCCAACGTCACATAGCTGACATTCAATCATTAAAACGCGTAAAAAGAAGGGAAATATATAGACTTAGCGCACAATTCTTATGTATTTATATATCAAAGACCAAAATATCTAACACTTTGGTTCTTTAAACTTATTCATGAAAAGATGTATTTTACTTTTAAAAAGTGGTAATGCCAAACAATTGAGTGGTATGTTTGTAAATCTTTCAAAAAAAAAGTTTCTGTAGCTTTTTTTTTGTAACTGGTAACAAAATAAACACAATCCAACATACTTCTTCACAAAAATAAATGAATAAATAAAGTTTCTGTAGCTTTTTCAGGCAACTGATAACACAATAAATACTCTCCTCTTCAACCTCTCTAAATTTTAGTCTTTGTTCATTGATTATCGAGTTACTTTGTCATGATGTTATATAGCAATCAGAGGTAAGATTCTAGATAGACTGAAATAGATTATTGCATCATTTACATAATTCCAGTGACTAAAAAATAGAAATGAAATTGGCAACTTCACCAACCATGAAGTTTAAAAAAGACACCTCAAAATCACATTGGTCCACAAATTTCATTAGCAAGGTGGTACTTCAACATATTTCATTAGCAAAATGATAGAGCTCGGCAAAAAAACAATCAAAAGTGGAATAGCACAAACCTTCCTTAAGTAGATTGTAAAGAGCCACGATATCGCCACCAGCACAAAATGCCCTCCCACTTCCCTTTGAAACCAAAACCAACATTAAACTTTTATCTTCATGTTAAAAAGAATTTCATTGGATCCATTTTGTCTCATTTTCGCAATATATATATATATATATATATAAACAAAAATCATTAATCATTAATAATAATAA